GGTATATTTTTGTTTGACTGAGTTTGGTATAATTAATATACAATTGATATAGTTTCTTTACCGATTTATTTTTTTTTTTTTTAGTTGATGAATTCTCAAGGTTTGCTTGTAATGGATTTGAGACACACACTCCCTAATTTGAAGTACCTTATTCTTAGCGTGATATCACGCAAAGTTGTTTCTTATAATTACAAAAGTGCAAATAAGGTTCGTCTAAAACCGTGCCCAGTCACGTGAGTATAGGATCTACGGAATCACATGGTGTATGAATACCATCAATTAACTGATGATTAGTTGACAATTAGCTGTCAATTAGCTACAATTAGCTGACTGATCATTTGTATATTACACCAGGGCCGATGATTTCCTGTGGTGACAAAATCTCAAAATTCTGTGGTATTTGCCACCGGCCAATTATGTAATTAAATTTACATGTAGATCTAAATTTTATATTTAAATTCTTATTCAAAAATTTCCTGAAACTCACCGACTGACATGCTCGTAATTTATGTCCTTCATTATTTACTGTTCCGAAAATTACTGAATGCAGGCCTGAATTATATTTCCGGACATTTGTACATATATTTGGTCAACTGTTTTTTTTTACTTTATTTTTCGTGATATTCTGTGTAACATACGTATGTGTTATACAGAAAATCATTGGTCCTGTATTACACGACCCAATTAAGAAAAAATTCTGAGAGTGAACTATGTACGACTACGTAGCAAAATTTTTTTACGCACGTACGTACTCATAATAAACTTATTAATAGTGTCTTTGTGCTCGCCCTATTAAAATTATTAAAATTATCTTGAATAAAATAAAACAAGATATTTGCATATTAAATAAATATTTACAAGCAAAAATAATTCGAGGTGACGGGCATGGGCGTTATTTCGAAAACTATGTCTCCTAAAAAAATAATATGTGCCTCCTAAAAAAAAATAAATCGGTAAAGAAACTATATCAATTGTATATTAATTATACCAAACTCAGTCAAACAAAAATATACC